TTGTGCGCCAGCTGCGCCCATTCCGTGGGAAGTCTGACTTGACGACTGTGGTCCATGCTCTGGTTACATCCCGAATAGACTACTGCAACGTGAGGCTGCCTTTGAAAACTTCTCGGAAGCTCCAATTAGTCCAGTGGACAACGGACAGGCTGTTAACTAGAGCTGCGTACAGGGAGCATACCATTCCTCTGTTGTGCCAGCTCCACTGGCTGCCGATTAGCTTCTGGGCACAATTCGAAGTGCTGGTTTTAACCTTTAAAGTCCTGAACAGTTCTGGCCCAGATTACCCGTCCGAACGTATCTCCTGCTATGAACCATCACAAAGCTTAAGATCATCAGGAGAGGCCCTGCTCTCGATCCCATCATTCTTGCAAACGCGGTTGGTGGGGACAAGAGACAGGGCTTTCTCAGCAGTGGCCCCCCATCTGTGGAACTCTCTCCCTAAGGATATCAGGTTGGCCACCTCCCTTCTTTCCTTTAGAAGACAACTGAAGACCTGGCTCTGGGGCCAGGCATTCGATTAGAGGCTAGTAGCAATAGGAAAAGGAAATTTGGATTTTGTGATACGGATTCTCCCAGCTCGGCTTAGTTTTACTGGCATGTTAATCTATTAATTTATTATTAATTTTTACAGATGATGTAGTATAATGTTTTAAAATGATTTTATTGTAAATTGTAATTTTTATTGTAATTATGCTGTTAGCATCCTCTGATGCTCATGTGAGGCCACGCTGAGTCTCCCATGTGCGGAGAAGGGCGGGATATAAATATATGAAATAGTAATAAACAAATAATCTCCAAGGGTAGAAAGAACTGCAAGTGAAGAAGACAAAGCTTTCCCCATTCAAGTCCATGGTTGTGTTTGATCTACACCCCTCCCCAGCCTTTCATCTCCCAGCTTTGTATAGGTTTCTAGGCAAGTAAAGGAAAGCTTTCCATCTCCTGCAATCTCCACCACCCTCCTGTTGAGGGCAATGGCCCAGTCCTTGAGACCGGAAGGTGCATATGGTTTACAATCTGGTACCTCAAAGCCAAAGAGTCCTAGACTCTAGACTTAGAGCCATAGAGCAGATAGTGGAGATAGTTGTCATTGTAAATCTTTACCACCATCCATGAACCCAATTGAGTTCAATCCCCAGACTACTAACTTGTTTGAATCTTTTGAATGCAACTGTCAGTCAACTGAGAGTTGAAGGAGAGGCTAAGTCACTTTTCCTCCTCTTTTCTTTCAGGGTCTTCTGTGCCCATCTAGGAACCCCACAGCAAGGTAAATAAATGGCATTGGGAAAGAACAGGGTTAAGCCTTGTGATAGGGAATCTTATTTGGAGGCATATTTTCCCTCTGGGTATGTTTAGCTTGAAGAGAAAAAGGCAGAGAGAAGGGGATACAATAGCCCTCACACAGAAATTCACAGGGAATGAGTTCAGAAGGAGGAGAAGGGTCTCATGGCAAAATGTTTTCCTCCTTCCTCTCCATTTTGAATGAGTTGTTGAACTTGCTGATCGAAAGGTCGCAGGTTTGAATCCGGGAAGCAGCGTGAGCTACCACTGTTATCCCCAACTTCTGCCAACCTAGCAGTTTGAAAACATGCAAATGTGAATAGATCGGTAGGTACCACTCCAGTGGGAGGGTAATAACGCTTCATGCAGTCATGCCAGCCACATGACATTGGAGGTGTCTATGGATAATGCCGTCTCTTTGGCTTAGAAATGGAGATGAGCACCATCCTCCAGAGTCGGACACAACTGGACTTAATGTCAGGGGAAAACCTTGACCTTACCTTACTTGCTCAATGAGCAATTCTGGTGGCAGCTGCAGTTCTCTTGCCTGGCGGAGGCAGGGACACACAGCTGCAATAGGATTGGCTAGAGCAGAATCCCATACTTTCCCAGCTCAAACTTTTTTCAGGGGAAATAGCCTCTATCCTAAGCCAGTGAGCTTTTCCTGGAACTTCTAGATGGTGGGTTTGCAAATACACCTTCCAAGCTTCTAGTCCTGGAAGGCAGCTTTCCTTGATCACTTTGTACGCAATTTGTATCTGGTCTCACACTTCATGATGGAAGCGGTCCCTGGGATCTCTGTAATGCACCTTCGCTTGTCACACTCAACTCTGGTGACATGTTAATTTGAAAGAAGATGGGATGTTTATTTTTATTGAAATTCTTGAAGGATGTATCCCAACTTCTTGTCACCAGCTCTTCAGTCCCCTCTTCCCCATTCCATCTTCCAGCTGGATTAAATTCTTCTGGTTTCTGTCCCTTGTCCCAATTTAAAGGATTTCCTTGTTTTCCTCTCCCTAGTGTGACCAGCAGATCTACTAGAGAAGAGAAGAGAAGAGAAGAGGGAAAAGAGAAGAGAAGAGAAGAGAAGAGAAGAGGGAAAAGAGTACATCCATTTGAAGATTTCTTCACTCTCTTTCACTGACTTGTTGCCTGTTCAGATTTTCAGAATATTTCAAATTAGAGGGAGTAATTGAAAACACCTTGAGGCATTTTGCTTTTTTGACAGGAATAGAGTGCTTTAGAATTAATTGGCAATTAAAAGGATGAGCTTAGGCTTTGCATCTGATTTTAAAAATCCTCATTGATACTATGTTCAAATTAAATCGATGTGCTACTCATAAGAGAAAAACAATAAGTGTGGAATAAATATACTTTGCCTGCACTCCTGTTAGTAACTTATGCAACACAAGCACATGTGTCTTTTTGGTGAAGGGCATTAGGAGGCTATTCCCTGTCCCTTTGTGATGCACCCAAAACCTGTCCAGCTTTTTGGGACCACTACTGCTCTTTCTTACTGGCAGAACAAGAAGGGAAGTCCAGAGGCCCCTTCCACACAGCTGAATAAAATCCCACATTACTGGTGTTGAACTGGAATATATGGCACTGTGGACTCAGATAACCCAGGTCTAAGCAGATATTTTCTGCCTCGATATTCTGGGTTATATGGCTGTGTGGAAGGGCCCTGAGCTGCAAGAGGAAGGGAAAGGCGCACTGCTTCATCTTGGAAAGCGCTCCCTTCCCCTGCTTCATCTTCCTCTGAATTGTTGGGCCAGAAAACATCCATACCTGCAGTTCTCCCTTTGCTTGACATCTTTCTGCATAGAATCATAGAATCAAAGAGTTGGAAGAGACCTCATGGGCCATCCAGTCCAACCCCCTGCCAAGAAGCAGGAATATTGCATTCAAACTCCAAGTCGCTTCTGGTGTGAGAGAATTGGTCGTCTGCAAGGATGTTGCCCAGGGGACACCTGGATGTTTGTTTACCATCCTTGTGGGAAGCTTCTCTCATGTCCCTGCATGGGGAGCTGGAGCTGACAGAAGGATCTCAACCCACTCTCCCCGGATTTGAACCACTGACCTGTCAGTCATCAGTCCTGCCAGCACAAGGGTTTAACATCCATTGTAGCCATGAAAGATCAAAAGTGACTCTTCCGGTTCTGAATTGCCAGTCTTCCCCTGCCATCCCCAACAATGGAGCATCGTGGAACAGACAATTCCCTGTCTCCATTGACTGCATCCTCACCTGGATATCCTTTTCTTCCATTCAGAAGTACATTTTTTGGAAAATATGATTGTATTACTTTGATTTGCAGCTATTAATTGTTTTGGCTTTTGTAAAATCAAGAAATGCTTTCAGCTTTTTGGGTGGGGAAGTGGATTTTCATATACACAAACAAGCACTGAATTTTTTTCACAGCTAATTGTGCCCCTAAAAATAAAAGCTAACACCTTTTAAAAATTGTTATATCATAATGGTAGTGTGATCTAGTTTTTTAAAAGTCTGTAATAATTTTGTGGGCAAAAATAAAGAGCTTCCTTCCCTTTTCTTCCTGCTGTGGCTTGTTTTTATTTATTTATTTACTTGCTTTGTTTTCTATCCCGCCCTCTCTTCCTCATGAGGGACTCAGAGCGGCTATGAGGGACTCCATGTTTCTTCATGGTCTACCCATCTGCTTGGGTTTTATCACCATTGGCCTTATTTGCAGATGTTTTCAATCTGGAACAGTAGTGTGGAAAGTATAGTTTCTAAGTTCAATTCTAATTTTGCAGTTAACCAGTCCTCACTTAATATGGGGAACAAATGGACCCTGGCAAAAGTGGGTCGTGGTCCAAATGTGCCCTGGCACAAGTGGTCCCTGGTCAATGGGGCCCTGGTCCAAGTGGACCCTGGTCCAAGTGTTCCCTGGTCAATAGGGTCCCTGGTCCAAGTGGGCCCTGGTCCAAGTGGGCCCTGGTCAGTGGAGTCCTGGTCCAAGTGTTCCCTGGTCAATGGGGTCCCTATTTCCAAGTGGGCCCTGGTGAAAGTGAACCCTGGTCCAAGTGGGCCCTGGTCTAAGTGTTCCCTGGTCAATAGGGTCCCTGGTCCAAGTGGGCCCTGGCAAAAGTGAGCCCTGGTCCAAGTGTGCCCTGGTCCATGGGGGCCCTGGTCCAAGTGTTCCCTGGTCAATGGGGGCCCTGGTCCAAGTGTTCCCTGGTCAATGGGGGCCCTGGTCCAAGTGGGCCCTGGTGAAAATGGCCCTCGTCAATGGGGTCCCCGGTCCAAGTGGGCTGTGGTCAATGAGGTCCCTGGTGAAAGTGAGCCCTGGGCAAATCTGGGTTTTCAGTAGTGGCAGTTATTTTGATGTTATCCTTTCTGCACTTCCATAGTGAAATCACTGTGGCCAAGCAGCACCCAAAAAAGGCTTCAGCACCAAGAGGACCTTGAAGTGGTATCCTTGAAGTGACTGGCTTGACCTTGAAGGAACTGGAGTGGCAATGACTGACAGGGAGATCTGGCGTGGGCTGGTCCATGAGGTCACGAATAGTCAGAAGCGACCAGATGAATAAACAACACCAAGAATACCATACACTGACTTGTGTATAAATGGTATTTCTAGTTGGTTTTTGTCAGCATTTTTATTACTTACTAGCTTGGGGACCCGGCGCTGCCCGGGTTATTAGAGAAAGTGGGTAATGGCGGTTCTGTATGCCAAGTTTGGTCTTTATTGATCATTGGATGACGGTTGCATTGTTTTCAGGAAGTGAGTGAAGGTACTTGAAGTCCCATCATCCATGGTCCACCCTCCTCCAAACAGCAGCAGGATATAGAGTGGGTCATGGGGGCTCTGTGTGCCAAGTTTGGTCTTTATCAGTCATTGGATGAGGGTGGCAGTGGTTTCAGTAAGTGAGTGAAGGTATGCAAGTCCCATCATCCAAAGTCCATCCTCCTTCAAACTGCAGCAGGATGTAGAGTGGGTCATGGGGGCTCTGTGTGCTAAGTTTGGTCTTTATCAGTCATTGGATTAGGGTCGCAGTGGTTTCAGTAAGTGAGTAAAGGTACTGCAAGTCCTATCATCCATGGTCAACCCTCCTCCAAACAGTATCAGGATGTAGAGTGGGTCATGGGTGTTCTGTGTGCCAAGTTTGGTCTTGATTGGACATTAGATGAGGGTTGCAGCAGTCTTGGGAAGGGAGTGGAGGTACTTGAAGTCCCATCATCCATGGTCTGTCCTCCTCAAACGTGCACCAGGATGTAGAGTGGGTCATGGGGACTCTGTGTGCCAAGTTTGGTCTTGATCCGTCATTGGCGAGGGTCTCAGTGGTCTCAGGAAGTGAGTGAAGTGACTTCAAGTCCCATCATCCATTTCCATATTTTTCCAAACTGCACCAGGATGTAGAGTGGGTCATGTGGGCTCTCTGTGCGAATTGTGATCCTGATCCATCACTGTTGGCAGTTGTAATGGTCTCAGGAAGGGAGTGCAGGTATTGCAAGTCCCATCGTCCATGGTGCATCCTCCCCCAAACCGCACCAGGATGTAGAGTGTGTCATGGAGACTCAGTGTGCAAAGTTTGGTCTTTATCGGTAATTGCATGAGGGTTGCAGTGGTCTCAAGAATTGAGCAAAGGTACTGCAAGTCCCATAATCCAAGGTCCATCCCCGGCCAAACCACACCAGGATGTAAAGTGGGGCATGAGAGGTCTATGTGCCAAGTTTGGTCCTGATCAGTCATTGGATGAGGTTAACAGCGGTCTCAGAATGTGAGTGATGGTACTGCAAGTCCCATCATCCATGGTTCATCCTCCTCCAAACTGCAGTAGGATGTAGAGTGGGTCATGGGGGCTCTGTGTGCCAAGTGTGGTCTGTATTGGTAATGTTCTGACTCAGCCCCTGGCCTTTCCTTTCCTCTCTTTGTCATCTCGGAATCTTGGAATTGATGCTGGCCTATCAGAGACCATATGCAAATTTCCTTCTCATGTCCCCGTTTCTTCCATGAACTCTTTTCTCCACCAGGGGCTCCTATTGAAGCTGGCCAATCAGAGACCATATGCAAATAGCACCACTGCGGCAGCCAATCAGAATGTTGGAACTTTCAGGCTGGCCAATCAAAACGCTGGCACATACTCCTCCCGTCGCACCGCCACACTTTTGTCCACCACATACAAGTTTTGACTTTTATTATATACATAGACAAGCTTAGGGACCCAGCGGTGCCCAGGTTATTTGAGAAAGGCACTGTGTGCCAAGTTTGGTCTTGATCAGTCATTGGATGAGGGTTGCAGTGGTCTCAGAAAGTGAGTGAAGGTACTGCAAGTCCCATCATCCATAATCCGTCCTCCCCCAAACTGCACCAGAATGTTGAGTTCGCCATGGGGGCTCGCAGTGCCAAGTTTGGTGTTTATTTGCAATTGGATGAGTGTTGCTGTGGTCTCAGGAAAAGTGTGAAGGTACTGCAAGTCCCATCATCCATGGTCTATCGTCCTCCAAACTGCATCAGGATGTAAAGTGGGTCATGGGGGCTCTGTGTGCCAAGTTTAGTCTTGTTCAGTCATTGGATGGGGGTCGTAGAAATGGGGGTCAGGAAATGAATAGAGGTACCTCAAGTTTAGTCTTGTTCAGTCATTGGATGGGGGTCGTAGCAGGAAATGAATAGAGGTACCTCAAGTCCCATCATCCATGGTCCATTCTGCTTGAAACTGCACCAGGATGTAGAATGGGTCATGGGGGCTCTGTGGGAACTGAAGGTTTGAAAGTACTACAAATCCCATCATCCATTGTTCATCCTCCCCCAAACCTCACCAGGATGTAAAGGGGGTCATGGGGGTTATGTGTGCCAAGTTTGGTCCAGGTCCCTCACCCATGCTGGTTATAGTGGCCTGTTGAAGTGGCAGCCAATCAGAAAGCTGCCACATACACCGCCGCATACATACATACAAACATTTACTTTTATTATATATATAGATACATGGTAAGAACATAAATCAGTCAAACCCATTAAAATCCTCCTTGAAATCCCCTCCAAACATAAAAAGAGCTGTCTTGATATTTGACATCTACATAATGTCTCCTGATTCCTGTGGAGTGCACTTTCTCCTTTTGGCAGATTCTATTCATTATCCATTGTCTTATCAATCACATCCTTGGCATTCAGCAAAGGGTGCAGAATTATTTGTCCACAAAGCGTCCATCTTCACTCCAATGTCACTCTGTGGAGCTCCTCTGGACCAGCCTGAAGTAGGGCCCCTTCTGGCCCAACAGTTCAGAGTGCGTCCCTTCCTCGACAACCTGCCCGCCTTCTAGCACCACAATTTTGTGTGCGTTCTCCACCGTCTGCATCCGATGAGCGATCACCAGCACTACCCGGGCCTGGCGGCTTAGTACCGACTGCTGGATCTATGGGGAAGAAATATCTTGGTCAGCATTGCAGTCTCTTCCTTAACCACACAAAGATCCTCCTCCACCACAGATAGTCACCAGACTACTCAGTGTTCATTCACAACATGCAATGTCTTCAGCATTATATACACTATGTGACAGCTTTGTATGGAAGGTTATATTTGTGGGATGTTGTATATAATCCACAAGAAATGTCCATATGGTTTTTGTGGCCTTCAACCATCTCAGCATCCTTGAATCTGAATCCATCCCATCCCAAGCTTCTAGGGACCCATTCACCCTACACCAGTGGTTCTCAACCTGGGGTCCCCAGATGTTTTTGGCCTTCAACTCCCAGAAATCCTAACAGCTGGTAAACTGGCTGGGATTTCTGGGAGTTGTAGGCCAAAAACATCTGGGGACCCCAGGTTGAGAACCACTGCCCTACACAGTTAGATTGCTGTGATCCTACTTTAAGAAAATTGAGTAATCCCAGAATTAACAGTCAGATTAAGTATTCTATATTTGAAACACTTGAAATTGAAAATATTTTGGGTTTTGGACAACCTGTATTTTTATTTTGGACAACCTGTATTTGCATGTATTTACATACTGAGATATGTATTATTGAAGGCTTTCATGGCTGGAATCACTGGGTTGTTGTGTGATTTCCAGACTGTCTGGACATGCTCCAGAAGCATTCTCTCCTGACGTTTCACCCACGTACAGCCCGGAAAACTCATGTAATTGCTAGTTTATGCAACATGTAAGGACCATGAAAGCCCTCTACGTCTTCATCCATCTGAACATGAGGAAGAACTTCCTGACTGTGAGAGCTGTTCAGCAGTGGAACTCTCTGCCCTGGGGTATGGTAGAGGCTCCTTCTTTGGAAGCTTTTAAACAGAGGCTGGATGGCCATCTGTCGGGGGTGCTTTGAATGCAATATTCCTGCTTCTTGGCAGGGGGTTGAACTGGATGGCCCATGAGGTCTCTTCCACTCTATGATTCTATGATTCACTTACTGAGAAGCAGCTGCTGTGATCGACCAGGGCCCATTCTCCTATTGCTTGGGAAGTAGCTGATTGATGGTCCCATCATACCTAACATAAGTGATCTCTGGATGAGGGTGAACTGCAAGCAGCTGAGATTGTTCACAGAAGGAAGTGGGAACAACATCAGCTGCTTCCCAAGTGATAAGAGAATGGACCTTCATCAACTGCAGCAGCTGCTTCCTGAGGAAGTAGGTGAGATGGTTGGGTCAGGAGTCACAGTGTAGCTATGTAATGATGATTGCTATTCATATGTAAGTCTACAACAGGATTCCAGATGCTATTGTCATCTTCATCATAATTATTATGTACCTCCCTTTTGCTAACATGGGGCTCAGCATAGCTTACAACATAGTTAAGATAGAATTTCATTATCTTGATTCATCCCTCAGCTTTTCATGAAAACCGCAGCTCAAGGGAATTTACAAATGAAAATTAATTTTAAAATATAAGTACAACTATGAGTTAAATTATTAAGTGCAGTGGTCACTTAGTGTCTGCTGAAGTTTAGGTTAAGGATACCCCATTGACATCAAAATTCGTGGATACTCAAGTTTAATTCTATGTCATGGGGCTGTAAATCAGTATTGCTTACAAAAGTGGAAAAATTTAGATTTATTTATTTATGTATTTATTTATTTATTTCAAAGTTTTCTATACCGACCTTCTCACCTTTGAGGGACTCAGCCCGGTTTCCAACCATAAAAACACATACAATCAGTAAAATATCATAGTTCACAATTACAGTAACACATTTAAAATAACAATATATTTAAAACTACGGTGGTCAGTCGTCATATTAAAATCAAATATACATCATCTTCCATCCAAAATCCTAGGGTGTTGTCTCATTCATCGAAAGCCTGTCTCCACAACCACGTCTTCACCCGTTTCCTAAATGTCAGGATAGACGGGGTGGTTCTGACCTCCAGTGGGAGAGAGTTCCAGAGTCGCGGGGCCACCACCAAGAAGGCCCTGTCCCTCGTCCCCACCAGACACGCTTGCGAGGCTGGTGGGACCGAGAACAGGGCCTCTCCAGACGATCTTTATAATCTTGATGATTTATCTTATCTTATCTTATCTTATCTTATCTTATCTTATCTATCTACCTATCTATCTATCTATCTATCTATCTATCTATCTATCTCAAGCTGTAGGTGGTTGACTCCAGGGATGCAAAATCACTGGATATCAAGGGCTGACTATATTTGGGGAGCCCAGGCTGATGATTTCTGTCCAGCTTAGCCATGGCCAATCTGTAGTTAATGTCCTCCCATTCCACCCCACTGCATACTCACCGCAGCTTCACTCTCCACATCCAGGGCACTTGTGGCTTCATCCAGCACCAAGACCTTTGGCTTCCGATCAGGGCCCGGGCAATGGCCAGGCGCTGCTTCTGCCCTGCGGACAACTGGCCTCCCTTCTCTCCAACATCTGGAAGGAAGGAGAGAGAATGAGGAAAGGGGAAGGAGGTCAAGTCTGCCCACAGAAGAGTCTTCACAAGAAAGGAAAGTCATGATGGGAGCTGAACTTGGATTCCTGGGTTCTCTGTTTAGGAAAGGAATTGAAGAGCAGAGGCAACAGGGCAGATTGGAAGAAGACAGTCAGTCTGCCCTACCCTGCACCTAATGGCAACCCCAAGGGAAATCTATCATGGAGTATTCTTGGCAAGATTTATTCAGAAGAGGTTTGCCTTCCTCCGAGGCTGAGAATGAGACTTGCCCAGTAGGTATCCAGGACTGAGAAAAGATTTGAACATGGCTTCAAACTACAAGAAAGGAGATTCCATCTGACCATGAGGAAGAACTTCCTGACTGTGAGAGCCATTCAGCAGTGGAACTCTCTGCCCCGGAGTGTGGTGGAGGCTCCTTCTTTGGAGGCTTTTAAACAGAGGCTGGATGGCCATCTGTCAGGGGTGATTTGAATGCAATATTCCTGCTTCTTGGCAGGGGGTTGGACTGGATGGCCCATGAGGTCTCTTCCAACTCTTTGATTCTATGATTCCATCTCCAGAGTCATCGTCCAGCACTTAAAATCCTACACAATGCTATCTATTACAAATGGAGGGCGAAAGGGAGAAATGTGTTAAGAGGAAGGTGTGTCAAGCCAACCCTGACCAGGACTGCCTTCCATCTGGAAACTGATGTTCTCACTGTGGAAGAACATGCAGATCAAGAACAGGTCTCTATAGTCACCTACGGGCCTACTGCCAAGACCCTACACTTGGAAAGCAATCATACTTGGCCATGAGGGTTCACCTAAGTAAGGAAGGAAGTACTGCATTGTTGTTGTTCATTCATTCAGTCATTTCTGACTCTTCGTGTCCTCATGGATCAGCCCACGTCAGAGCTCTCTGTCGGCCGTCACCTCACCCAGCTCCTTCAGAGTCAAGCCAGTCACTTCAAGGATGCCATCCATCCATCTTGCCCTTGTTTGGCCCCTCTTCCTTTTTCCTTCTATTTCCCTAATTATGTGGAATTAGTTCAAGTTGTTTAGGCCTCTGACAGGTAGTCAGAAGGAAAAGGAGGCTCCAGGTAGTGAGCCAAATGTTTAGTATTTAACGTAGTGTTTTTAAAGAAAAAAAATGTAAATTTAAGTCTATAGCTTCAACTAGTCCAACGTTCGGCAGCCATGATTCTAACAGGAGCGGGACGCAGGGAGCCAACTCCACTGGCTACCGATTTGCTACCGGGCTCAATTCAAAGTGCTGGCATTGACCTTTAAAGCCCTAAACAGTTCCGGCCCAAGCTACCTATCCAACCGCATCTCGGCCTATGAACCCACCAGGACTTTGAGATCTTCCGGGGAGGCCCTGCTCTCGATCCCGCCAGCTTCACAAGCACGGCTGGCGGGGACGAGAGACAGGGCCTTCTCGGTGGTGGCTCCCCGGCTGTGGAACGCCCTTCCCACAGACATCAGATTGGCACCATCTCTGATGGTTTTCCGCAAAAGAGTAAAGACCTGGTTATTTGCGCAGGCGTTCGAATGATTGGTGCAAAGACTGGTAACGACATAGGAATGGAACAATGGACGACTAACTTGGATCATATTTTTAGTGATGAGATGTTTGGGAATGGTTACTATAGTAATTGTGTATTAGTTGTGTATTAGATTAGGTTATTAACTGTTTTATATTGATGTTGAATTTCGCTGTGTTTTGTGTCTTGTGAACCGCTGTGAGTCGCCTTCGGGCTGAGAACAGCGGTATAGAAGTAAAGCAAATAAAATAAATAAATAAATAAATATAGTACAGTTTGGCCTGAATGCCAGAAGAAAGAAGTTCCCAGTCAAATTATGTGTGACTTCAGTATCGAGCCTGAAGCAAGGAAATAGGGACTGTGGAAAGAAACTACGTTAAAAAGAATAGAGTGAATGAAACTCATATTGAAACATTGCTCTGCAAGCAATTGATCTCATGTAACCACTATGCATATACAATAATACAAATAAAAAGAAGATACTGTTTCATCTACAAGCAAAGCCTCTCTCTCTCTCTCTCAATCAGTCTCTGTGCTATTGTGTTTCAAATGGTGGCAGCGGCAAGTGGTAGGAAGGTGGAATAAAAGTCCCTCCTTCCTGCCTGAAAATTTTGTTTGAAATATTGTTTTGCCTTGTTTGTCCCCTGCTATTTCACTTTACCCTCTCTGTCATAGGCCAATTGTATAAATTCTCATTTCTCCCCAATCCCTCACTGTCCCAGAGAATTTCAATGGTTGGTATAAACTCACAGTGTATGGCTCAGGGCTGGCTGTGGGGCTAGGGACAAGGAGGAGCTTTTCACAATAAGAAGTAACAAATAACACAGACCTGCACCGAACCCTCCTTCCAGCTCATGGATAAATCCCGAGGCATTGGCTTCTTCAGCTGCAGCAGTCACTTCCTCCATGCTGCAGTCCTCCACGCCATAGGCAATATTGTCCCGAATGGATCCAGAGAAGAGGGTGGGCTCTTGACCCACAAGTGCCACCTGCAGACAGGAAGCAACCATGGAATGGAATAATGGTTTGTTCGACCTATGGGGGAAATCATCTGTGGAAGAAAGCTGTGGTGGCAGGGGTGGACTGTACCCATTCCACATATTTCTAACCATCTTTGTGACATTCTGTGGGCAAAACTAGTTGTTTGCTTGTTTTTTGGCTTTCATGTGGCCTTAACACCTTGAGCTGAATTTCCGAGGTTGGGGATGATATAACTTGATTATATTACTTATTAATAAAGGAAGTCTGTATCTGACAGGCCAAGGACTGGACCAGTCTCAGAAAACAGAATTGACTGGAAAGTGGAATCTGGGGTTTTTAAAAACACAAATGCAAAACTAAATACTGGGTGGTACCAAGTCAATTGAAAGTGGGAGACTGGCAAAAAAGAATTAGCAGTGGTTGAAAGAGCAGAACACGCGGGGAATGTTGTAAATAGCAACCTTCTCAAGTCTCAACTAGTTATTTGTTATATATAATTCAGATTGCTTACTGTATTGTATATGTGTGTATTGGTCTGCAATTTTACCTAACCTCTTTGTTGTGGGAGGGGCTGCAGACCATGTGATCGGAACTAGACATGTTCAGACTCCATTTTAGTTTGTTGGAAGCCATTACACTCTTAGAGAGAGTAGAAGCCATCTGTATGCTTTTAGAAGTCAGTGACCGTGTGACAGCGCGAGTGGCGCCACCTATGTATAGAACTGTTAGTTGTAAGATTTAAACTGTTGTATCATGCTTAATCCTGCCCCTTTTTACCCTGCTTATGTATAGTTGTATGGATTGGTTGCTTGTAGTTGTCAATCAGTACTGTTTGGCTCCACCTCTTCCTGCAGGAGGGGAGAGCTTCCTTCTTCATTCTGCCATCGGAGTTCGTACCAGATGGACGTGAGTAAAAGATTTGATTCTAAAAGACCTGATTTAAGTTACCTCTTAGCACCAGTTCTGAGGTTTTTTACCCCTGGGACTCATGCTTTATGTCCAGATCGTCCTGGACAATTATTGAGGAGACCCAGGCGCCTTCAAGCCGGTTCTTTTGGCACCAGAGGAAGATCCTGAATCTTCAAAACATAGGCCATCTGAACTGGGGTTGTGGTTTGCTCCGGCATTCACAGCCATTGAGAAAAGAGGAAACTTGGTGAGGCTTCTCAGCTTCAAACCCCTTGGACCCAGGACTAATTGAGACTGTAAAGTATGTTTTCTTCACCCCTCTAAAGTTTTCCAGCTTATTGCTTTGAAAAAATGACTTTGTGATCAATAAAACTTATTTTGAGCTATTTACAGCGTTTTGGGTTTTTGGGAGTTCCAGTTTCCTATAGGAGGGCAAGAAGCAATCCCCTGGGGGAAAGATGCCACGTCCATCCCTCCTTTATTGAGCCCTCAGGCGCGACGGCACAGACCGTTTGGATCAGAAGCAGGAACAGTTCGGTTTAGACTTCAATGCAGGAACTGTATGCTTAGATACTAGACAGATACTTTATTAGCTTCTCAAAACAGAGAAGCTTTGGACTATGGACTATTCATTCTAAGGAAGATGCCCTGTGTTACCTACACAGAGAATCTACTTAAAATCCTATTGGGACTAGATTCATAAGCAAAGTGTCTGTATGATGTATACATGAAGTTTTGTGAGTAAACCAACTCTGTTACTTTTAAAGAAGACTGTTTATTTTGACTCTTGATAGCGTTATTTAAAGGCAAATATATTTTAAGGGAGAGCAGATGTTTCTTGGGCAACTAAGGGAACGCCTCTGACACTCTGCTGTATATATTTCCAAAAGGTAATTTGACCAGTGGTTTTCCAAAAAGGAAAAAATCCTACTTCCCAAATGGTATGGGGATTCACATTTTCCAAAACTGAAAGTGCAAACATGCAGGGGTGGCTAAAGCAATAGGCAAAATACGCATTTGCGTATAGCACGAATCCTCGAGGGGTGCTCTTTAGGCACCCCCATATATGAACATACTGTTGTAAGTACACTTCTGGTTTGTAAGGTAACTCTTTAATTCACCTCTACCTTCTACTTTTTATTTTTCTGTGATTGCTAGGGGGGGGGGGGCAAAATACTATTTGCTTACATTTGAAAGTTACCTTGAAAACATGGTTATAATTTGCACGAAAGGTGTTTCCTGGTG